GTTGATTAAAAGTGCTGATCTTGCATTTTGGTGGCTGTTCACTGGAACCCTCAACAGGAGGTTAAGAGAAATGTCAGTGCAAGTGAAGGCAGCAATCAGTAAGCTGAAAAGCCAAAATACACCTTTCAGAGAAATAGCAAAATGTCTGCAGGGCTAAAGTGACAAAGCTCAGAAACAGAAAAAATTAAGGAAGATGGATTATAAAGTGTACAGGGCTATTTTCCATTCTTAGATTCAGCCAAATGCCGCAAAACTATGGAGAGAAATGTCTGTAACCCTTTTGACACATAATTCTCAAATTTTACAGTGCAAATGGATGATAACCATTTCAAACAAAGCGACTACTGTGGGCTTTGGGAAGTGAACTGTTTTCATTTTTGTCATTACAGGAAAAAAACAGAAAAAAGAATAAAGAAAAAAATGAATATAATCATTAGTTGCAGCTCTACACTCATACCGGGTTTATAGTTTGTTTGTGTATGAGTATAATTAGTACCCGGAGAATATACATTTCAGTCAATGTCTTGTTGTATAATGTTACATTTATTTTGAAAATCAACCTAACGCTGTGACCATACAGGCTGTTATTTTTACAGTCAGTCTTTTATGTATTATCAAACAGTGGCAGTTGAATGAGCGCTGTTTAATCCCACCCTTCTGCTTTTACATATCTGTATATATGTATAAACACACACACACACATAAAGCTGTGTGTGTGTAGGAACACACACAGTAACGAACGATTACGATTCACTGACCCGACATCCTGCCTGTGGCCTCACACTCTCCCACTAACACTGTCATAGACGCACATACACACACACACACACACACACAGCCTGATCACACAGTTCATCTGAAAATTTGGTATGCCTTATGTCATTTGATGCTTATGTCAATCCGTTTCTTCTTACCTGAGTATTGTTTTCCGTCCGGACACCAGAGGGCTAAGATAAATCCGTTCCCTCTCCTCCATCTCTCAGCATCAGCACCACATACACGCACACCCCCTTGGCGTCGCCATGTCTAAGCTGCAGTGCCACTCACACCGCCCCCTGCTGTCGCGGAGTTTTTTAGGGATTCAATTTTTTTCTTAATAATCTTTATTTAAATAGAAGTGGCCAATAAGCTCCCATTCCTAAAGACAAAATATTAGAAGCACTTTAAATGTAACAACCAATTCTTCATCCAAAACTGCAACGTTTGTCAATCAATTTTAGTGTATGTAAATTGTAACCTTGTGGACATTTGTTTATGTGTAGTTCAAGCCATAGAATTTGGGTTAAGCTCTCTGACTGGGACATTGTAACACCTCGATTCTTTTTTTCTTTCCATTTAATTGTCGATTTGTTGGTGTGCTTGGGATCATTGTCCTGTTGTCACCCAATTTCAGTCCAGCTTAAGTGGTTAGATGCACCTAGAATCATCAAGAGTTTATGGCTGACTCATTGACTGCATACTCTTTTTAGAGAGAAGGGGCTTTCTGTTGGCAACCTTGAACTCCGACGACCTTTAACATTTAACATGCTAACTAAGGCCTATAGAATCTGAGATGTACGGTCTGTTTTTTGAGCATCGTACAGTCTGACTTTGGGGTGAATTTACTGGGACAGCCACGCGCCTGCTCCAGACCAGCAAACTAAAGACCACCAAACTTTTATAGGAGGTGCTCACATTTACTAATGATCATTAAATTAAGTGCATTTACAGGACGTGGCTGGCACCTAACCCTCTTAATTCTTATGGAAGCAGTAAGGTTGTACTTATTTTTTCACAGAACTGCATAAAGCACAGCAAAAACTCTTTTTCACAGGACTGAGCTACAAAGTGAACATATTTCTAGCTAATAAATAAACTATGACTCCCTGATTTGTTTTGATGTGAATGTTGGGCTTGAGGACAGATGAAACAATCACCAACCTGTCATCCATTGCAAGACATCACAACAACTTAACACGTTAGGTTTGGCAGGCTAACCATATCGCTAATGGTCATCTCCTACTTTGGAAATAGACTCTTTCCTTTTTCTTTGCAGCAATAAAGAATTATACATTAGGCAGCAAAAGAAAATAGTTCTGGTTGACACTAACTATGGTTCTTATTAATTAGCCTTGCAGGCAGAGCACTTTTTCAAATACCTCATTACGCACTTAGTTGTGAATGTGTGTATTCTGTGGTGGTTACAAATTTGTTAACGCAAATAGAGAACAAAACACTGACAACACCGAAACGTAACAACACATACAGTAACTTTACATTTGCAGGGGGATGATGAACAGGATATATATCTGTCTATCTATCTATCCATACTCACTCTCTCTCTCTCACACACACACTCCAAAAAAATCCAATCTTTTTTTTTTAATGCAGATGTTAATTATTGTATGTGTGACTGTTCATGAAATGTTTATCTGGGTAGGTCAGAGTACATATACACATAAGAACATATTACAGTAAGAAAGAATGATGAAGTCATTCTTTCTACTTTTCAAGAGGCATCAACATATTTTCCAGCATATTCCAGGGATTAACAGAGGCCTCATTTGCCAATTTTACATATTACCATCTGTTGTCTGTTTTCACACACATATAATCATTGAGTGACTCTTTATCCACAGGGTTTAATATGATGTCTTCCAATCCTTTGCAGCTTAGGGGAAGGCTTCCCATAAGGTTTGGGAGTGTGTTTATGGACATTTTTGGCCAGTCTTCCAAAAGCACCTTTGTGAGGTCAGACACTGATGCTGGACGAGAAGGCCTGGCTCACAGTCTCCAGTGTAAACATGGCAAAGGTGTTCTTTTGGTTGAGGTCAGAAAGCTGTGCGGTTCAGTCAAGTTCTTCCACACCAGCTTCACTCAGCCATGTCTCCATGGACCTAGTCCTGTGCACTGGTGCACAATCATGTTGAAACAGGAAGGAACCATCCCCCTATTCCCACCCACAAAGTTGCGAGCAGGAAATTTTTGGAAAATGTTTTGGTATGCTGAAATATTAAGAGCTCCTTTCACTGAAACTATGGGGTCCCCCCCACCCCCCTCCAAAAAAAAAAAACAAAAAAAAAAAAA